GAGACAGTAGGTAAGTAATTGGCCCCACTCGGTATTGCACTCATTCTTGTGAAAACCAGTGGAGAATTGGAGTAAGGGCTAAAGTCAGAGTCCCAGCTGGCGTCTATTTACTTAGGAGAATTGGATCTGGGTACTTTTTCAGAGATCAATGTTTCTGGTGAGTGATAAACACGTACATACATAAACATATCAATATGCATATAGAGATATACAGATGTGTGAACCTGCATAATATTCTCTGGGGTGGATCTTGGTCTGCTCTAGCCAGTGGAATGGATGTGTGTGTGTGTGTGTGTGTGTGTGTGTGTCAGTGACAGAGAGTGGTACTGCCACTGTGCAAGAGTGAGGTGATGTTTAGGTGACATGCTCCAGAAAAACAGGTTGCTAAAATATTGAAGTAATTCTGTACAATAGGTAAAGAAACAAAATAAAACATTGTCCTAAGTTCAACCAAGTTATCTCTGGCCACCATGGCCCAGAAGAGCCAAGAGTGGGCACTGGAGGGGAGTGCCCTTGTACCTACCAGCCTTCCAGCTAGTCTTCCATAACTCCCACACGCTGGCTTCCATCTTGAGTGTTCCCTTCTCAAGAGCAGACCAAGTTGTCCCCTGTCCCCCAGCGGTGGCTACAGGGCATCTGGTTCCTTGGTGGTGTACCAGCTGGCGCTCCTCAGAGTCACCCTTAAGTGGCTGCTTGTGGGAACTGCATCATTCACAGTGTACCATATATGTAAGTTGTTAAACAGTTTGAACATTGTCTCTATCTAGGTATGTATATATGTACACACACAGAATACTTATGGACAAAGCTGTCTAAATGCAGCAATCCTACATATTACTTTGCTATAAATAAGGGAAAACATAAGTATAAAATCTGAATTCCATTTTGTTTTTAGAAAATTCTATGAGTGCCTAACAGAAAATCTTTCTTACTCAGATATATCTCTGAATATCTTTAAATGGATTTAACTTAAAAAGTGTTCTAGAATCTCTTTGTCCTCTTGGCTCACGTAGTGTCTTTTTTTTTTTTTTTGACAGAGAGAGAGACAGCTAGAGAGGGAACACAAGCAGGGGGAGTGGGAGAGGGAGAAGCAGGCTCCGGGCCGAGCAGAGAGCCCGATGCGGGGCTCGATCCCAGGACCCTGGGATCATGACCTGAGCCGAAGGCAGACGCTTAACGACTGAGCCACCCAGGTGCCCCAGCTCACGTAGTGTCTTACCAACATGTACTTATCCTACGGAGAAGCTGAACACATTTCCTTGTTCTGCCCTTGTTCTGCCCTCCTTGTTCTGTTCCTCACCTTTGAGGGGTGGTAACAGCTTTATCCCTTTATACCTTTAGTCTGTGACACTTGATGCTTGGTATCCTGGATAGGATTTCCAGGAAGAGAAATTCAGATTCCCCTGAATTTTAGGATCTGGACGGCTATTCCTAGGACATGACACGAGAGCCCCAGTGAGTTTACCAAAGATCACCCAATTGAAAAGTCAGGAGATGTAAGTGATTGAAAGTCATTATCAACTTGACCTACATTTTTCACCAGTAATGGATAGGACAAGAGGCTTTCGAGCCGATTATTGTCCCTTGCACAGTTTAAACATTTTTTTTTGAAGATACAGGTGGTTTTCAACTACTTATGTGCATTTGTTCTTGTTGCTATCTCCACAAATGGAACTTTCCCAGTGGTAGCTGGGTTTCATCGTTGTTTTTCCTTCAAAGGAAAAACAAGGGCCTGTTGAAATATTTGCACTTATCAAAGTATTATCACATGGTGGAAAATTTGGGAAATAGAGAAAAGGCATGAAAAAGCCCCCATAATATTGGTACTGGAACATAATAATACATACTTCTGTTTCACCATGTTATCTTGTCTTTCAATTTTGGTATTGCTGAAATTAACACTTGTATATAATTTTGTATATTGACCTTTACCATTAACCTGTTGTTTTGGCCTTGACTTCCCTAGCCTAATTAGCATTATTTTAACAGCTATATGATGTTAAGTAAACTACCATTGCTTATTTAATCACTGCTTCTCCTCCCACCCTTAATTCTTACCTTTGCTTCCTCTTTCCCTGTACTGTTTCTGTCCAGTCACCATTTTTCTTATTAGGACCAATGAAAGGAACATTGAAGTTAGGAGCCTCATGATTTGAACTGTATGGCTTTGCCAAGTTCCATAATCTCTTCAGCTCTTTTCCTCATCTATCATTTGGGAATAACAGGGGCTGGCCCTTCCCTACCCCCGAACACTTAACCCGTGTCACAGGAAAAAGTAAAATTTCGTCCTCTGTTACCTATGATTTCCATTAAGTAAATGGAATAGATCAATTAAATTAGGCTAAGAAATAGCAAATATTCTGTTTTAATAATTAAAACAATCTTAAAATTGTCCTTCGAAAGATAGATAAGCCATTGGCAAATTGTAATTACTTGCTCTTAGTTTTGCTCCGCATGATTATTTTTATGGCAATGATAGGATCTTATTTATTTTATTTTATTTTTTTACTCAGAACTCTTCTTTTTAGGGAAATTTTTGGATGGTTTTCCATTTAATGTCTATAGAACAACCTGAATATCAAGTTTGTTTTTTTTTTTTTCAAATGGAACAGGAAAGTATCACAATTAGCAGACTCTTCCAAAAGCAACAACTGACCCCACTGATATTACCAAAAAGAAAAGTTAATATTTTTGAAGGGAATTCCCTTGAGAGAATGTCCCAGAAAGTGTTGTGAACCCAAGAGCATATCTGAATTTTTCATCAGTTACACTCATATTCTAAAGGTTCTGTCAGAGCTGTCTTGGGAACAAAAGCTAAAAAAAGGCTAAGGGTTGAACAGTGGACACATCTTTTAACTATATGACCCAGGAATGCATTAGGATGTTAGTTAAAGCTGCTTGCTAAAACAAGGAGCTTACCCTCTTTCTTCTGAGGTTGAGTATCAACTTCTATTTTTAAATACAATCAATTGTAGGATTTTATTTTGAAGCATCTCAAACATTGGAAAATATATAAAGTCCTATTTTGAACACCTCTAGCTTTAACAAATATTAAACATTGCTGTATTAGCTTTATGATGCACATACACATTTGAAATGAATAAGATAAACTGGAAATTCTTTTTGTAATCCACCTTGACCTAATAATGTTTTTTCTTCCTGCCTACCTCCTTCCCTAGATATAAACACTATCTGGAATTCAGTGTTTATTATTCCCATGTATTTCTTTATGCTTTTGCTATATAGGTATGTATCCATCAACAACATACAGTATCATTTTACATGATTTAAAACTTTAAATTCGCTCATACATACAACTTGCCTTATTCACTCAGCATTGCTTTGGAGATTATTTCATGTTCATGCGTATGTACCATTCTTTTATTCTGCTGTATTATTTTCCATTATGGAACTATACCACAATTTGTTTATCAGCCACCCCCCTAAGAGGCTTGAAGGAGGGACAACTTAAAGTCAGATCTTTATAACTCGTTGGTCAGGTAGAACACCAAAGATGCCAGGAATTGATACTTGCATTCCTGCTTTTCTCCCTGTGCCTTTAGTTATTTTTCCTCCTTCCTTTATATTTTGGCCTGATCCCCTGGAAAGATCAAGATGAATTATTAACAAAAGTTACTCCACAGATATTTTTATAATGAGTATCAATCGTACGTTAGGGAAGAGCTAAACATGAGCCAGATGTAGATGACTGTCAAATCTATAGCCATCAAGTTGTATGTGTGTATTCATATTTATAATGTAAGGCCTGTGGGTTTCACATACATGCATTTGCTATATTTTAATTTTTGCTTTTAAAAGAGTATGGTTTAAATTTACAAAAAAATTACAGGTAGTAAGATTTTGATTCCTCTTGGTTATTTGCTTATTCAAACATGTATTTTTCTTATTTTATTTGCCACAGTAGTATATATTTTTAAAGATTTTTGTTTATTTATTTGAGAGCACAGAGGGAGAGGGAGAGGGAGAAGCAGACTCCCCGCTGAGCAGAGAGCCCGATGCAGGACCGATCCCAGGACCCTGAGATCATGACCTGAGCCTAAGGCAGACGCTTAACTGACTGAGCCACCCAGGCATCCCAGTAGTATATTTTCAAACCAAAGAATTAGCCATCACTTCATCCCGTTGCTTTTACTGTTTCACAGATATTATTTGCAATATTTAGGTTAAGGACTGCTAGTTTTGTAGATAGAATGCCTAGAGAATTCAAACTGTTTGCCATTCTCCTTCCAAAAAAAGAAAAGGAACTCAGGAATCATTTATGTCTGTTTCCCTATTTTAATACACAAATTGTGACGCATCAACTTTCTGTTTTTCTATGCAAGCTGTAATCTACGATTTGCCTCTGTAATTTCATTAATTTTTAGAGACCAGAGAATTTTTTGAGTGGTAATAGACAAGTTCTGTTAATAATGAAATGATTCTAGTGACTCCATTGTGCTTAGCGGGGAAAATAAGTCTCTGAATCACTTTCATTGTTTTCCCTTCATGAACAAATGCTGATTACAGTAAATTGGATTTTAACATTTGACTAAATCATCATCTATAAGCTAAATGAGGTTTTAGCTGACTAAACTGAATGTTATTAGAAGAACCTATGTGACAAATAAATAAAGTACACATTTTAGAAAAGATCAAGGACTCATGTGAGCCAAGAAATTTCAAACCTAAGAGGATATGTCCTATAAAGTTTAAAGTAGATTTTTCAATTACAAAGTGAATGAAATGCATCATAAATTAGTGCAGCGTCTGTTTTTACTGTGATCCAGAAATAATCATATCGATTTGGGGGCTTTTAAAAGAAAAATCACGGAGATTAAATTTCATGGCTCTGTGGATACTGGGTTAACTGGTGATGGCTGAGAGGTGTCCCGAGGAGTGTAGCTTCTCCGTTGGTTGCTCATTTGTGTGCTGAAGGCTTTTTTCAGGGCCCTCTTTTATCTGCACTTGGAACAATGATGGTTGTGGTTTGTTTTATTCAGATCAAGTTTTCAGAATTCGACTACTTTGGCAATGTCCTGCAAACCCGCAAGTACTTAGCACAGTCTGATTTCTTCTGGCTGCGAAAAGCGGTTCCAAAAACAGAGTGAGTAAAAACAAAAACAAAAACAAAACAAAACCCAAAAGGAAAAGAAATAAATATGCTGGTGGGAAGTGAAGTCTCCTCAGGTCAAACTTGGTAATTCCCCTCTGGTCAGAGTAGCCGGCTGGCTGGTTACCTTGGTTCGGCAAAACCCGTGTTAGGTTTCGATAACTCCTATTTCTGATATTATATGAATCACGTCTTCATTCTGATGACGGCTGCCCCACTCCTAGCCCCGAAACGTTGCAAGAGGGCTTATTAGGATACGAACGTTCAAGTCACTTCTAGATGTAGTTATGAATATATGTACATAGAAAACAAGTTTCCCTAGAATTTCACACTCAGGTGGAAACTTTTGAAGATCTTAAAAAAGAACAAATGCTTAAAAAATCAAGTATAGTTACAAATGTAGAAGTAATTGTATAATTATGAAGTAACTAGAAGATTTTGTCGAAGTAATAAATGTCAAAGAACTGATAGCTGTATTATTTTTCTCCAGTAGCAGTTAGGATTTATTCTTCTTCCCAGCTGCCTGTAGGGAATGTCCCTCTAGGTAGGAAAGTTTCCCGAGAAACTTTCTGGGCCAGGGCCAGCCATGATTTCCTTCCCTAGCAAAATGTGTATGAGGATGATACTGATTGCAGCCCGCAATTATTATGTTCACAGTGTGCTAGGGAGTGCTTTACCTGTTCTAACTAATTTTATCCTCTCGTCATTTCTGTGAGGCGTAGGTACTATTAATAAATAGGACCATCCCCATTTAACAAATGAATAAGAGGCTTAGAGTTGAGAAATCCTTCAGCTCAGGTTTACATTACTTTTTAAAAAATTTGATTACTTGACAGTATACTTAACACAGTGTTAACGTGTGAGGTTTCGATTACTGTTTGTTCTGCCTGCTTGTACGTCTGACACTGTCTGCCGGGGCCCGCTTCTCCACTGCTTTCCTTCCTGTTCTCCAGATTGGATAATTTCTATTGATCTGTCTTCAAATTCATTGATTGTTTCTTCTGCATTGTCAAATTTGCTTTTGACCCATGTAACGAATTTTTCGTTGTGGTTATTGTACTTTGCAATTTCAGAATTTCCATTTGGTGGTTTTTTAGATTCTGTTTCTGTGTTGTGATTTCCTTTCTTGACTGCCTGTCTTTCTTCCTTCCTTCTTTCCTTCCTTTCTTTTCTTTTTTT